AAATCAGATAAATACAAAAATAAATAACAAAAAATTCAAAAAGTAACCCAAAAACAAACAAACCCAGGAACGGTAGAAAACCCCACCTCTTCACTCCAACCTCGCGACCTCCCCTCACCCCCATCTCCAACCCTACAGCCTCCCCCTCTCTCTCCCACCCCCAAATTTATGATCCTCGTCTATCACCACCAAACTTCCTACCCTCTCTAGATCTATCCACAGCTAAAAACAATAAAGATGTACACCAAAGCAAGTAGCATTTGCTAGAAACAATGGAAATATATTATATATTTGAACAAAGCAACAGACCCTAAGGAGGTTTTTTTAGACAATCTAGACTCCCCTAGGTTACTGCTCAAGGATTTACGAAACATTCAAAATGTTGGTCAATGCTGAGACTTTGCAAGTCGTTATCCAACAGAATTAGACCTCCTCAAATTATTTAAACCATAAGGCGAGCAAGTTTTATTGTCTAATAGTCTAAAGCCTTTACTCTGACAACAGTCCCAGATGACCTCAACCAAGTTGTGTTGTTGTTATACCCAGGTATGTTTTGCATGTAGTATTTTCAAACCAATGCCTTTTTTTCTCTCTTTAATCAATTCAAATGGTCCATGACTACAATTTATTTTAAAGAGATAAAAATCATCCATCTCATACATAACTTAAGTCAATTTCTAAATAAAAGTTTCCCTCAGTCAGATTAGTTTCCTTTTGTTTCTCTTAAACTACACTATCTGTTTGTTCTTGAAGAAAAACCCTTTCAAATAATCAACTTGTCCACTATAAACCCAAAAAAAATTAAACCCATTTTCATATGGTGCCGTTAGCTAATTCCTATGCTCTATTAACAGAAAGATCAAATTAATGCGAACAAACTCAACACTTTGCTAAAGCAAAACAGCAATTAAGCAGCATTAAGAAAAGAAGAGGAAAAAAAAATTCCCAACTAACAAAGAGCCAGCCAAAAAAGATCTCCCATTCTTATCTCCTAACAATCCCAACTGAATCTAAAATCTGGTTTTTGTTGTCTCAACAACTCCAACCAGATAATGAAGGTAGGTTTCAAACTTAGAAAGAGAGAAGAATTAAAATTCGGAAATCAAACACCCACATTGAGAAACCCTAACAAACAATTTAAACCTTTAAAACATGACAGAGCAAAGATTTGAAATAATAACCTGGGATATAGCTTGAACACTACCCCTTCTTTACGAATTTAAATCTTCTGTCTTTATGAGTTTGACCTAAAGTTCATCACGTGAAGCTTTCGGATACAATTATGCATTCCAATGACAGACCTCTCAAAGATTGGTATACATGTCATACACAACGGTCCTCTACAGAAGCATTTTGACCGAATTTATACCTACTTTATACGGTTATGGCCTCCCAATAAAATGGATTCAGTGTCAATAACGGGAAGAAAACACACTTACACGCCAACACCCACCAAAAACTAAGGGAGCTCAATAGAAACAGATATTAAACAAAGGGCTTTATATGAAGAAATCTTATAAGTAGTTGAAAAGGCCAGGGATCTGCCACAGTTACAAATCTCCATATAAAGCTTTTGTAAACCAGCCAATACTTTGTTGTTTGGAGCAAACTATCTCTGTGTCAACATTTGCTCCAACTAAGTTGTTATGCACCCTATTTGTCACTCGCATTGCCTGACACATACTGATTTTTGGGTTGCTTAATAAATGCTAAGTTTTTCATGTTCCTTCTTCACTCACACGGTGGTTGATCATGGATATGTGTCACTGAGAGCTGATGAGGAGCGGAAAAACCGAAGTTAGTATGAACCTATTATTGACCATAATGGGCTCCCTCGGCAGCAATCATGTAACCAGGTACCAGAAAATAGCATTATCCCTGGCCAAATTAACAGGGCATGATACTTGTATTCTTGTCTGGTGGGAACTTCTAGGGGAATTACGTATTTTTTAGTTTGCAGAAATTGGTTTCTAACAGGAAACTACTACATTATAATCAATTTCTTTTGGAACTTGATTTAATCTCTACTTCATAGTGGTTTCCTACCTTTATTCTCTCACTCTCTCTCTGTCCCAATAAGTATATAAGTTTTTCAAAAAGTGCCAAGAGGTGCAATTTAAAATAGCAAAACATACAAAATTAAGACTAAGAACACGTTGACTGTAAAGGAAGGGAACATAAATGTAGCCTTAAAGCTCACAACTTGCCTATATAGATGTGAAATAGATGCAGATACTTGACTAAGCTCATTCCTCTGCTGGGGTTTTAGGACTCTTTCTTGCCATTTTAGATTAAGTAAATGGCTCTTAGAATTATAGTTGTTCATTCTGGCTACATCTCTTGCCAATAATTTTGAAAAAATACAACGTAATATTTGACATATAATCATATTCTCTGTTTCGGAAAGCCAAGTTTAGAGAAACTTAGGCGTGCAAAATAGTTGGTCATCTTTTTGAATGAGGCATCATAGTTTCAATCTGATCTTTTTGGTGAAAGTAAAAAGGGAAGAATTTCGAAAACTAGAAATCTCGACCCTTAATTGAGTTTTTTAACATGACAAATGAATAAACCAAACTAGAAAACCAAAAGAACGTTAAAACCAACCTTCTTTTTCACCATGCGGCTATACTATTTATAAGCAAAATCGGCCAGCCACTGTCGCCTAGTGGCCATTTCGCTACCTGTCAAAAATAGTATAGCCGCCCGGCTAAACTATTTTTTAGTAAAAACCGTAGTATAGCCGGGCGGCTTTTCGTTTTTTATTTGGTCTCATCGTATAGTTAATTGCTTCTGTGATAAGATTTCTTCGCTATTTAATGCAGACATTCAAAAGTGTTTTAGTTTTTTATTCATCATCTAAAATTTTTCCAACCCACAATGAAGCTCTTTTTTTTTCTCTCTCTCTCTCTGTGATGATAAGATTTCTTTCTTTTATGCACACTTTCAAAATTGTTTTGAGTTTTTTTATCCATCCACTAAAATTTTCCACCACCTAACACACCGTGAAGCTTTTTTATTTTTTATTTTTAAAAATTGTGTGTGATAAGGTTTCTTCCTTCTTGGGCTCACTCTTTTATGCATGAGCACATGTCTGGAATCTGTAACTCTACCCAGTAGCAATAATTTTGGAAATGAAACCGATCGGCTGGCGCTGCTGGACTTGAAGAAAAGAATCACTCAAAATCCTCTCCATCTCATGAGCTCATGGAATTGTTGAATTATAAGCCTTAAGCTGACTTAAGAGTTAGCTTAATTAGTTCTTCGTTTTATTTCTTTTTTAAGACAAGTGTAAGCTTCCTATTGGTTGCCTAAGTGAACGGTTGAGATTACCTTGTGATGTAAGGGATCCAACTATTGTGCCTGACGGATATATTCCTCACACGAAGTGCGTGAGGTTGTGAGAGTGAGAATAGAAAATGAACATTCTCTGCTACACGTATAGCAGATAGATTTTGTCAATTCTTCTTGCTCCTTCCCTCTTTGTTTTCTTCTGCAATCTCTGAATTAAAAACACCTAAAACACTAACATGGCCTTAGAGCCAGGTTCAATCATCTGAAGCTGGTTGTTCAATCTGTGAAAGGAGAATCATCGGGAAATTTGGAGGCTCGTTCAAAGCTCACGAAGCTGCTTGAGCTCGTTTTCTCCTAAATCTGAAAACAACTCGTTTTTGGAGGCATCTGAGATCAACCATGGCTGGATCTGGAAGCTCAGAGGGGAGAACTCTGATTTTGTATATGAGAACTCACGAGCAACTTTCCAGTGGGTCACCCATCCTAAGATTGCTTTAGCCCAAACTCGTTTAACTTCGGAGTTCCCATGATTCCGAAGCCAATGAGCTCTCAAAAAGCCTCGTGCTAGATGGAGGTGGGCATGTACATATAAGGCACATCACCCCTTCTCTGTTGGTCGATGTAGGATGTTACAATTGTAGGAAGAGAAAACTTGAAAGGATATTTTTTCTCTGGTGTGCGTCTCCATCATTTGTATAATTTGTTCAGCTACTGGATTGTACATGTGTTTTTAATTAGACGTCTTGCTCAAAATTCATCAACCTTAGGAGCCCCACTCACTCAACTCACAAGTTGGAACCGCACACCAAATAGTCCTTAACACAAAGAATAGTAAAAACAGGTTCTCTGACTTAAAAATAAGGGTGGTGATTTTTCCCACTCCCCTTTTGTCTACTTACACTACCTTTTGTTTTTTAATAGTTTTTACTATAACAAAAAAGGGAGTGTAAGTAGACAAAAGATGAGTGGGAACATATAATTTCTAACAAAGGGAGTGTAAATGAATAAAAGAGGAGTGGGGAAATCAGCTATAAAAAATAATAATAATAATAATAATAATAATAATAATAAGAGAGGAGTAAAACACAGAGTAAGCAGGTTATGAGGTTGCTCCCCTATAATTTTCTATTAGAAACTTATCCTTTCTAATGAGATGCATAGCCAATGAAAACACACTTTTTGGCTCGGGCATCCAATTTGCTTCGTTGGTAATCTTGTAAGTGGACAAATATAACACATCCGAAAATTTGGGGTTCCAGGTTTGGGGTGGGAGGTGTTCGGATATGGTGGTGAAGTGTTTGAAGTGATGTTTGGAAATTTAGGATACTAGAGGGAATCCGATTGATGAGGTATGCTGCAGAGACGACGGTTTCGCCCCAAAAAGATCGTGGCATAATGGCACCACAGAGAGAGGCACAAACTACTTCTAATAAGTGTCTGTTCTTTGTTTCAGTCACCCCATTTTGTTGGGGAGTGTAAGGGCATGAGCGTTGATGTATGATGCTATGATCTTGTAAGAACTGGTTAAGATCATGGTTGAGAAATTCTCCACCATTGTCAGAACGAAGAACCTGAATTCTGGCATGCAACTGAGTCTTCACCATTTGATAAAACTGTTGAAACTTGGAACTGACTTCCCCTTGAGTTTTGAGAAGGGAAACCCAAGTCATGCGTGTGCAATCATCTATAAACGTGACAAATCATCGAGCTCATGTTGGAGTAGCAATTTTAGCAGGTCCCCAAACATCAAAATGAACAAGAGAAAACATAACCAAACTCTTATTTGAACTTAATGGGAACGGGACACGATGGCTCTTAGCCAATTCACACGTATCACACTGGAAGCTAGAAACAGAAAGACTGGAAAATAATGATGGAAATAACTTCTTAAGATAACCGAACGAGGCATGCCCAAGACGTTTATGCCATAACCAAACTTTGTCCCTCTCCCCCTCAGAATGAGTTCCACTGGTTGTAAAAGCTTGACTAACCTTGATCTCACTATCCGGTGCCCAGTCCAAGTAGTAGAGTTTGCCCCGCCGAGTACCACAACCAATCTTCTTTCCTATGAAGATGTCCTAAAAAACACAATGATTTGGCCAAAATGTTATAGTACACCCCAAAGTAGTAGTAAGTTATGCAACAGACAACAAGTTATGGTCTAAAGATGGAACAAGCAATACAGAATTTAGATGTAGGGAAGTAGAAAGAGATAGAGAGCCCTCCCCAACCACAAGGGAGGGGGTACCATTAGCATTAGACACCACCGACGGAGTGGATGATTTGCGACTAATAAGTTGGCTAGGATCAAATGTCATGTGATCCGTAGCACCCGAGTCTATAATCCATGCGGATTTTTTAGAGAATGTATGAAAAGCAGAATCTTTGGTGGTGGTGATAAAAGCACAAGTCCGTAGCCGGGTCAGCAGGATTAACCGCATGCTTCTGTGAGTCTGCAATAAATGGGAGAAGAATAGGGGTTCTTGACATCTCAGTGGAAGTAAGATGTGATATGAGAATATGAGAAATTTTGATTGGAGGAATTTGATTTGAGGAATTTGATGTATGAATTTGATTTGAGGAATTTGATGTATGAATTTGATATAGGAATTAGATTTGAGAGGTATGTGTATATGATTTGAGGGTATGTGTTTAGGGATTTTGATAAGGGGATTTGAGGACCTTATATTTGAGGGATTTAGATTTGGGGAAAAATATGAGGAATTTGATTTAAGGTTTTGGATTTGAATGTGAGAAATTTGAGATAAGGGTTTAGAGACAACCTAGGATCGATTGCTCTGATACCATGCTAAAATATGAATATGGTTTGAATATTTTAAGTTAAGGGCATGTTTACGTATCAAGAATGGGTATGAGAGGAAAGGGAATGATTTCCATTCATGACTTCCCCAGCATTTACTTGCAATCATGAATGAAAAAATAAGTGGGCCCCACCTCAAAATCCGTAATCACATTCCATCAAAACTATGTATCAGATCAACTAAGGGGGAGTAGTCGATACGATTCCCATTACTGTTTTCTCTTAATAACTTCCAAAAATACCCTTACCACTTTACCATAATTCTAAAATTAATTTGGATTCTGATTCATGCAAATTAGTAAACAATAACAATGGGAATCAATCACATTCCTTTGCTAATTCCATATGTTTAGTAAACAGCTTAATGGGAATGATTCTTCCGATACCGATTCAGTAGTTCCTCGATTCCTAAATTCTCTGATTCCTTACTTTCTCCGTTACTGATACGTAAACATGCCCTAAGTTTTATTCTTCTCCATAAGGAAGTATATATAGGAATTTACATTACTGCTTTACAAGAAAATATATATTGTAATCAATTATGATAGTATCTCCTAATTATACAATGATTTGTCAACTATATAAAATAAGAAAGTAAATCCCTTAATTCCTTGATTAATTAGGAGACTCACGTCAACATACTTTATAGATATTAATTGGTCTCATCATATAGTTAATGACTGAATCAAAGCTATAACTTCTGGTTAAGAGTGCAGTCTCTCTACCTGGCTGGTGCAATTTAGTTCTTTGAAGTCTGCCAAAATCAAATTGGCAAGTGCGTCTGTGCATGCATTTTTTTTATTTGCACTTTCCAAAACAGTATAATAGAATAAACCTAAACTTGCAGCTGCTAGTCTACTTGGGTACACAATCACCATGACAGAGATGAAGAGCTGTTAGCAAATGACCTACTAGTGTAGTGGTTTGGAGACGATGATCAATCTCAAAGTAAGAGATTGAGCCTTATCCAAAGTCAAACCATTTCTTCTGGGCTAAAGGGTTCCATCGGTTACATTCCTCCTGGTACGACCCTTACCACTTCTTCTTTAGCTTCTTGTGGGCAAACTGTTTCTAATACGAACTTTGCTTGGGACAATCTTTTTTTTTTGTTTTTATCCTTCAAGATTCACTGGCGTGATGATTTTTCCTTCTAACTGTCATTGGCATGATATTTTGTCACAGGGAAATCGCTTTCCCAAGTGTTGAAATTTTTGTTCTTCCACTAAAATTACCAAACCCACTTGGAGAATTGTTATAAACTTTTATTCATCCACTTTTTTTTTTCCACTGACTTTAGTATTAGAGCTTTTCTTTCTCCGATATGATTTCTTCCTCTCTTTTTTCACGCTTTCATAATTGTTTGAATGTTTTGGTATTTGTCCACTATATTTGTTTGAAAGTGCATCGATGTGCCTATATGAAAATTACAAATACAGATATGAATCCGGACAAAATTGGAAAATTGAGAAGGGTCAAATAACCACTTCTCTTGGAAAATTGGTGCATCGATGGGCCTATGCATTATTCCTTGTAGTATTATTGCATTCAATCCAATCACAACCAACAATTTCTCCAATTCATATTATATCTTGCAGGGCCAGCCATCTATGCTTAGTGACAATAACAAGTCAGCAAGTTAGTCATGACTCACGAGCACAACTTGATAGACACGGTGAAAGCTTGACTCTAATTTGGCTCCTCGCATTACTAGCATTATTCATTGTAGTGGGATTTCTTCTTTCATATACAAACACTTGGTTTCTTATTTTGACAGCAAAAGGAAAGAAAAAACAAGCACTTTGGTTTCTGATTTGCTCATGGTAGACGGATTTTGTTTCCATTCCTTCATGCATGGGTCCAATTCTAAGTATCTCAGCTCAGGCATTCTTTATAAAGAGAGACGTGAGTGACTTTAAACATATACAAGTACTGTTCAACATTCTCTCCAAGCCCACCGACTTGGACTTCTCCTAGCCATTATTTACAATATTATTATCATGTTACTCTACACACAAAATAAAAAATAAAAAATGGAGGAGTCTATAACAAAAAATCAGCCACACAGACATCAATTACCAGATTGATGAGCAGACTGGGGGTTCCTATATTGATTACTCCAGTTCTTTTTCCTTCCATCTTCCTCCCTGTAACAACAAACCAAACTCAATTTCTGATTTACTTCTCAATTTTCGACATGACAAATGAATAAACCAACCTAGAAAAATAAAAGAACGTTAAAACCAACCTTTTTTTTTACGAAACCTAGAAATTCCTTTGAGCTAAACCCGTGCGATGAGAGGAAGGATGAAGCGCAGCTGGACCGGCAACACTAGACAACGTCTGAGAGGAAAATGTATCAGACAAAGACCAAAAGGGAAGGGCAGTTTGCACATTTTACCGTGCGGCTGGAAAAATACAACGGAGAAAAGGGGGCATTTGAGTCATTACAATTTATAAAATTAAAAAAAAGGGATTATAGCCTCTCGGCTAAACTATTTATAAAAATAAAAAAAGACTGGTCTGGCGCCTAGAGTCCATTTCGCCACGTGTCTAAAATAGTCTAGCCGCCTGACGCTAGCTTGCTGTGTCAAAAAAGTATAGACAAGCGGCTATACTATTCTTTAATAAAAAAAACAGTGGTATAGCCGCACGGCTATACTATTTAACTATTTATTTAAAAAGGCCCGGCCTGCCGCTAGACTCAATTTTGCCACGTGTCAAAAATAGTGTAGCCGATCGGCTATACTATTTTTTTTAAGAACCGGAGTATAGCCGCCCGGCGATACTCTTTTTATTAAAAAAACCCCCGAGTTTAGCCGCCCGGCTATACGTTCTTCTTATTTTAAAATGTCCCTTCTAGTTGCATTAGTTTATACTTCGTAGATATTAATTAGTCTCATCATATAGTTAATGGCTGAATCAAAACTGTAACTTCTGTTTAAGACTGCCAAAATCAAATGCCATGTGCGTCTGTGCATATGCATTTTGACGTTGCTTCTGCATTAGATTATCTCCACCACCGTTGTGAAACAATCATTGTTCATTGTGATCTAAAGCCAAGCAATTTTCTTCTTGGTGAAGATATGGTAGCCCATGTTGGTGACTTTGGTTTAGCAAGGTTCCTCCCAAAGTCGAACCATTTCTGCTGGGCTAAAGGGTTCCATGGGTTACATTCCTCCAGGTATGAGTTTCTACCATTCTCTTCATAATAAGTTAATCACCTTTTTTTTCCTTATAAAACTAAAAAATGAGATCTAAGATCTAAAGATTATTTGACTGTGACATTCTGATGCATGTAATACTATTGCTAGAAATGTTCACAGGAAAAAGACCTACAGATGACATGTTCACAGAAGGTCTAAAGCATTCTCCAATTCGCAGCCATGGCAATGCCTGACCATGCCATGGACGTAATTGATCCTTCATTGCTCATTGTAAGAGATGATGCAGATGGAGATGGTGATGATGAAATATACAACAATGACATACAAGCAAGGCCAGTTGTTATCAGGATGGCAGCCCTGTCCTTGCAACAAGATTGGAGGAGTGTTTGGTTTCAGTAATGCAGATAGGACTCTCATGCTCTGCAATATTACCATCTGAACGGATACAAATGGATGTTGTTGTGAATAAAATGAAGGCAGCTAGAGACTCATATCTCAAATTCTCAATTGAGAAGAAGAAGGAGAAGAAGAAGCTAACAATATTCAAGATAGGACTAAGTTTGTTATCTGATCTCAAATCTGAAGCCTCATCTATTTGGAAGAAAATATTTGAATAAGGATATTATATATGTCCAATTATTTGGGTATTTTTCACTTTATTTGTATGAGGTTGAATTGTAATTACCTATCACAAGAAGGGAAGAATGTTTTGTTCTGCTTATGCCCTTGTTTGTCTTTTTTGTTCAGCATAATACAAATTGCATGATGCATGTGGTTAATATCGGAATATGACTCTTTATCAATGGAGCTGTTGAAGAAATGACTGTTATAATCCTACACCGTCCGTTATGGTTTGGACTTCTTGTGTTCAATCTCTGCTGTATGTGATAATTAATACATCCTTCATAAACAGTCTTTTTGTGTCTCCATGGATTCATTGGTCTCATGATATTGTTAATGGCTGATTAATTTGTTGATATAAGAGTTTGACTGTTGCATGGTACTGAGGCTACAGACTCTTATCCATTCTGTTCATTTCCCGCCAACACAATCCCTCTCTAATTCTGTTCATTCTACTTCTATTTGGTTGAAATGTCTCTGGCTCTGATAATAGCCTGGTAGAAATAATTGGAAAGGGTTTCTGTCAGTGTCAATGCGTATAGCAATCGGAGAGGTTTGATTGAATGCAACATTATTCAATCACATCCAATATATAATCAATTTCAAAAAAAATGTCCTTACCTTAGTTGAATGACTAGAATAACCCTGAAAATTCGTCAAGAGCAGGATTGTTTTTCTAGGAGGAACGGATTAGTTTATATTATCCTGCTAGATTGCTAGCTTACTAGCTTAATTACATACATGAAATGCATCTCATAGAGACTTGTTGCCGACTTGTCCAACCGATATAGGACTCTCATCAGCCACACATTGTGGCTCTCTCTAGAGATTTCTTAATTACCGACTTGGCTGCATATTCTAGAACCATATCATATCTGACTTAGCCTCTTCTTCCACCAAGCTTTCTAGAATTATTATGTAGATTAGATTCCTCTCAAATGTCCATTACTTTTTAACAACAAAAGGAAAAACAAACAAACACACACTCTGCTTTGTTCTGTATTTAAAAACAGGATGGAGCATTCACTCAGCAGTAGTCATGGTAGGGTAATTTTGTTCATTCTTTTATGCATGAGCATGAGCATGACCACACCTCTGGATTCTTCAACTCTACCAAGTGGTAATAGTTTTGGACGCGAAACTGATCGCATGGTGCTGCTGGACTTGAAGAAAAGAATCACTCAAGATCCTCTTCATGTCATGAGCTCATGGAATGATTCCGTTCATTTCTGCAGTTGGGTTGGCGTCACGTGCAACCCTTCCACCAAAAGAGTCGAGATTTTGAAACTCAAGTCTCGAAAACTAGTAGGCTCTTTACCACCTTCTATTGGAAATCTTACTCATCTTGCTAGAATCAGCCTGGCCTTCAATAGCTTTAGTGGTGAAATTCCTCAAGAAATGGGTCGTCTACGAAGCCTGCAATATCTCAGCCTGTCTGGAAATTCCTTCAGTGGGAAAATACCAACTAATATATCTCAGTGCACACAACTAAAAGATCTCCGTCTAACTCTCAATGGGCTTATAGGGTCCATTCCGAACCAATTCAATTCATTGTTGAATTTAAATTATCTATCCCTTGATTCTAACAATCTCACTGGAGCAATCCCAGGTTGGATAGGAAACTTTTCTTCTCTGCATGAGCTTTATCTTAGCCAAAACAATTTTCAAGGAAGCATACCCAGTGAGCTCGGGCGTCTGACCAGCTTGGGGACATTTGCACTTGCGTCGAATAATCTGTCTGGTATTGTCCCTTCTTCAATCTATAATATTTCTTCAATGCACATCTTCAGTGTTGCTGTCAACCAGCTCCATGGAGAGCTACCACCAAATGTTGGCATTAATCTACCAAATCTCGAAGAATTTTATGGTGGTGACAACAAATTCACTGGAACTATTCCTGCATCATTGTCAAATTCTTCCAGACTCTGGAAGATTGATTTGAGTCAAAATGGTCTCCATGGGGCACTCCCTGCTGAAAATCTTGGCAGCTTGCGAAACTTAGTTGAGATGTCCTTTGGTAGCAATAGACTCAGAAATGAGAAAACTGGCGACTTCAAATTTCTCAACTCTTTGGCTAATTGTACTAGCCTAGAGATCTTGAGTCTTGAAACTAATCTATTTGAAGGACAGTTGCCAGGATCCGTAGGCAACTTTTCTGGCCAACTACAATATCTTTATTTGGGGACAAATTTGATACACGGGAGAATCCCTCAAGAAATTGGAAATCTCGTAAACTTGACCCTCTTAGGAGTGGAAAATAATGATTTGAGTGCAAGTGTCCCTGATGTAGTTGGGAAGCTTCAAAAGTTACAGGAATTGTATGTGAATGATAACAAATTTTCTGGGCCGATACCATCCTCCTTAGGCAACTTGACTTCCTTGACACACCTCTACATGAACGATAATAGGTTTGAGGGAAATATACCTCCAAGTTTTGGTAGCTGCCAAAGTCTGCTCGAGCTCGACCTTTCTCATAACAACATAACTGGCGCCATACCTAGAGAGCTTTTCGGGGTTTCATCTCTTACAATTTCTTTGGACATTTCCGAAAATTCTTTGACTGGTTCGTTACCATCTGAAGTGGGTGATTTGATAAATCTTGTGGAGCTGGATGTATCAGGAAATAAGTTATCAAGTGAAATCCCCACAACCCTTGGCAGTTGTATTATGTTGGTGCACTTGCATTTGGAAGTCAATGAATTTGAAGGAACAATTCCTCAATCCCTTAAAAATTTAAGAAGCCTGGAAGAAATAGATATTTCACGCAACAACTTATCAGGGCAGATTCCCGAATTTCTGGGCAAGTTTCCGTTTCTTCTCTATCTCAATCTTTCTTATAATGATTTTGAGGGTGAATTGCCTAAAGAAGGGATCTTTTCAAATACAAGTGGTCTCTCAGTTATTGGAAACAATAAGCTTTGTGGTGGCCTCCCAAAATTACGTCTACATGCCTGCTCCATCAAAAAGTCCCATTCATCTCAACGACTACTTGCCCCAAAGGTAGTCATCCCTATTGCTTGTGCACTTGCCTTCATAATTGCTCTGTCATGCTTCATTGTGGCTCGCTCAAAGGTGAAAAAGTCAAGAGGTGGACCTGTAGCTTCACATTCTTATAAGGGTTGGAAATCCATCTCTTACTTAGAACTCGTTCAATCAACTGGCGGTTTCTCTATGGACAATCTGATTGGTTCAGGAAGTTTTGGTTCTGTTTACAAAGGAGTACTTCCTACTGATGGGAGGGTAGTTGCTATCAAGGTATTCAACCTTCAACAACGAGGAGCTTCCAAGAGTTTCATTGATGAATGCAAAGCTTTAAGAAGTATACGGCACCGGAATCTTCTCAAAATCATAACTGCATGCTCAAGTATTGATAATCAGGGTAATGACTTCAAGAGTCTAGTTTTCGAGTTCATGGAAAACGGAAGTCTAGACTCATGGCTGCATCCAAGAGATGATGAGCAATCTCAAAGTAAGAGATTGAGCCTTATCCAAAGACTCAATATTGCAATTGACGTTGCTTCTGCAATAGATTATCTCCACCACAATTGTGAAACCACCATTATTGTTCATTGTGATCTAAAGCCAACCAATGTTCTTCTTGATGAAGATATGGTAGCCCATGTTGGTGACTTCGGTTTAGCAAGGTTCCTCTTGGAAGCATCTGAGAATTCCTCCCAAAGTCAAACCATGTCAGTTGGGTTAAAGGGTTCTATAGGCTACATTCCTCCAGGTACAAGTTTCTATCACTCTCCTTTTTTCATTTCATTTTTTTTTCATTTCCTTTATGTATCAGCATAATCACAAATAATATGTAAGGTCTAAAGATGTTTTGACTGTGACATCTTATGGCATGTAATGAATGACAGAGTATGGCATGGGAGGCCAAGTTTCCATTCTCGGAGATATTTATAGCTTCGGAATATTGTTACTAGAAATGTTCACAGGAAAAAGACCTACAGATGACATGTTCAGAGATGGTCTAAGCATTCACGAATTTGCAGCCAATGCAATGCCTGACCATGCCATGGACATAGTTGACCATTCATTGCTCATTGAAAGAGATTATGCAGACGATGATGATGAAAGATACAACAATGACATAGAAGCAAGATCAATTACACGCTATCAGGATGACAGCCCTATCCTTTCAACAAGATTGGAGGAGTGTTTGGTTTCGGTGATGCAGATAGGACTCTCATGCTCTGCAATATCACCATCTGAGCGGATGCAAATGGATGTTGTTGTGAACAAAATGAAGGCAACTAGAGACTCACATCTCAATTTTAGAGGGAGCAGAAGAGGAAAAAGCTAGCAGTATGCAAGATAGGGCTAAGTTATCTGATCTCAAATCTGTAGCCGCATCTATTCGGATAAGGATATTATATGTATCCATGTGTGTGACATTATGTAATGATGTTTTATTCTGTTTATGCATGGGATTCTTCGTTTTGTTTGTATATATTCACAGTGCTGCTTATTTTGCTTCTTCATTTTTGTGCTGTTGCTCTCAATGTATATAGTATTGAGAGAGATATGGCAAAATCCTTGAAAATCGTATAATAAAGTAGTAAAAAAGACATCAGGCTTATTGATCCGCTTATCCATAAAAATCAAGAACCTCAAACATTAACGACAGTACAAAGGCACGTATAGAGAGATGGAAATCAATTACAAAGAATGTATTTTTTTGAACAGAAGATATAGCTAAACAGGGGAAGTATGTTTTCTTCTGTTTATGGCTGGGCCTTAAATACATCTAGAAGACGAAGCTAGAAATATGCCAGATAGGGCGAACTTTGTTTCCTAATCTCAATCTGAAACCTAGCATATTATAATATATCAATCTGTGGTTGAATTCAGCTTTGATTTTCTCTACTATGATCTGCTTTACTTTTATTCTCCATATGCCACCTCATTAAAATTTAATCTAAGGGTCTTAAATTGGACACATCTTCCTTAAAATAAAATTTCAATTTACTCCTAATTAAAAATGAAAAAAACCCTAACTTGAATAACGCCTAAACTTAATGGCTGTAGCAGTTTTTTTTTTTTCTCTTCTTCTTCCTTCTCTGCACGTCTCCCCCCACCCCCAAATCTTATCGCTTATCATTCTTTCCTGTGTCCAATCTTAGAACACAAAAACATTATTACCAAGAAAAGTATGAACATAATAAGAGTCATCTGAGTTCTTATTTTTTTTGGTTCTTCTTCCTGCATCACGTTCTCTTTTGCTTCCGATGTCTGCAACCACCCTCATCAAACAATGGATATGGGAAGGGAAGTTTTTTTTTTTTTGGTTCATTTGATAGGGAAGTTTCAATTTTGCTTTTGATTAATTTATAAACAAATTCATCTACCACTTTCGTATTCTTATGCTTCTGATCATCACTTTTTTTTTTCTTTCTTCCTATATCCGCAACCACCATCATCAAACAATGAATATGGAATAATTTTTTTCTTTTGATATGGGAAAGAGAAGAGGGATTATGATCATAGAGATTTTGGGGAAAAGAAATCTCAGTGAGAGGTAAGATTTTTGGGGAAAGAAGAGGAAAAAATAAGAGAAGAAAGACAGAACGTGGTGCAGGAAGAAGGAGGAGTAAAGAAATCTAGGAACGCTAACTTTCCCGTTAGTTGGATTAGGGATTTTTTTTTAATAAAAAAATTAGGAGTAAATGAGTTTTTTATTTTTAGGATGATGTGTCAACTTTAAAGTCCCTTAGATTAAATTTTATTGAGGTGGCATGTGGAGAACAAAAGTAAAGCAGATAATAGCAGAGAAAATCAAAGCAGAGAATCCAGATCCTCATTTTATATACAGAGCATGGGAAGGAAGGATGTTTTATTCTGTTTATACCTTTTCTTTTTTTCTTTCTTCGTCCTTTTTTCCATTGTGACTGCTGAAAAGTAAGATGTATACATAGACATTATTAAGGGAGTAGATTTCATGACCCTATTATCATTTTACAACCATGAACACAAATTTACATTGGACTATAAAAGTTTCAATCATAGCTGAACATTGAGTATCCGCACTAAGACATTTTTCGCCCATGCCAAGTAGGATTTGTCATTGCCATGTCATCATGTTTAACGGAAAAGTTGACTGAGATGACGGAAATGATGATTTTTGAAAGTGGAGGCATAATTAAAGTACGACCGTAACAATTTAACAATATCATGGACAAAAAGTAAAGTTTGCCTTAGTCCATGGACTATTGCTACAACTTAGCCACACAAAAAAAACACTGAGTACAGCCGAGCGGCTATAATATTTATTTTTTATAAAAAAAACAAACATGACCGCCCTAGAGGTTACACTATTTTTTAATAATAAAAACCGTAGTATAGCCGAGCGGCGATAGCATTTTTATTATAAAGAAATCCGAGTATAGCCTCGTGGCTATACTTATTTACTAAAAAAAGACATGAGAACCCGACTGGAGCCTAGCGCCCGCTTTGCCACATGTAAAAACCGTAGCATAGCCGATCGGCTATACGCTTTTTATTTTTTCAAAAAACCCCCGAGTATAGACGAGCGGCTATACTAGATATAATAAAAAGAGGGACCACCAGCCTACGTCCTAACGCCCGCTTTACCCCGTGTCAAAAATAGTATAGCCGTGCGGCTAATGTTGCATGTTAATCAAATGCCTCCATTCTCATCAAATTACATATAAACTCAATATTTTAGCCAATAGTTAGAATTATTGACCGAAATTGTCTCTCAACTTTAGCTATAGTATCATTTTGGTCCACTAACTAAAATTTTCATTTCAATGTTCCATTAACTCTTCATTTGGTATCAAAACAATCCCACCATTAAAGTCTATTAATATTGCCATTAAATTGAGGGGTAAAATTGTCCATATGAATTCAAATATTAATAGAATAATTAAACATTAAAGAAAACTATTATAGGAATTTGTACCTAATTTTAAAATTGAAAACATTGAATCTTACCACCAACATGGCTTTTTTTGGCTAACAATAACTTAAAAAGTAATAATTTTTCCTCTTTAAATTAATTTTAAAAATTAAAATCAGATAAATACAAAAATAAATAACAAATAATTAAAAAAATAACCCAAAAACAAACAAACCCAGGAACGGTAGAAAACCCCACCTCTTCACTCCAACCTCGCGACCTCCCCTCACCCCCATCTCCAACCCTACAGCATCCCCCTCTCAGCCTCCACCCACCATCACCCAACCCCTCCCAATCGCTTTCACCGTAACCCGCACCCTCTCTCTCCCACCCCCAAATTTATGATCCTCGTCTATCACCACCAAACTTCCTACCCTCTCTATAGTCCAAATCCACGAAAATTACCACCCAAAAGCTACAAAAATGAAAACTTATGAATGGTGGTCTCTCTCTCTCTCTCTCTCTCTCTCTCTCTCTCTCTCTCTCTCTCTCTCTCTCTCTCTCTCTCTCTCTCTCTCTCCAAATCTGATATGGGGTTGTTTTTGTTGGGTATGACTTATATTTGAATCAAGTTAGCTTGATTTGCGAGGCTCCTTTGGGCTTGAAGTTGCTACTTTATTGGAGAGATCGAGGGTGTTGGGGAAGAGGGGCTGGGTTGAGGATGAGGGAGGCTGGGATAGGGGATGGAGTCGTGAGATGGGGGAGGCTAAGATGTGGGATGGAGTCGTGAGATGGGGAATGAGTCAGGATAGTTTGGTAGTTGTATATGGACAGTTTTACCCCTCAATTTAACAATAAAATTGACAGATTTTGACGAGAGAACCAATTTGATACTAAATGGAGAGTTGAAGGAAGGTTGAAATGAAAATTTTAGCTGGTGGACCAAAATGAGACTGGAGCAAAAGTTGGGGGACCATTTCAGTCTATAACCCCTAATAATTATGTATAATATAAAACTTCCAAAAATAATTTGCAATGTTAGCAAAGCCAGCATATGATGTTATTCTACAGAACATAAACAAAGAATTGATACAAAAGCATTCTAGATCTATCCACAACTAAAAACAATAAAGATGTACACCAAAGCAAGTAGCATTTGCTAGAAACAATGGAAATATATTATATATTTGAACAAAGCAACAGACCCTAAGGAGGTTTTTTCAGACAATCTAGACTCCCCTAGGTTACTGCTCAAGGATTTACAAAACATTCACAATGTTGGTCAATGCTGAGACTTTGCAAGTCGTTATCCAACAGAATTAGACCTCCTCAAATTATTTAAACCATAAGGCGAGCAAGTTTTATTGTCTAATAGTCTAAAGCCTTTACTCTGACAACGGTCCCAGATGACCTCAACCAAGTTGTGTGTTGTTGTTATACCCATGTATGTTTTGCATGTAGTATTTTCAAACCAATGCCTTTTTTTCTTTCTTTAATCAATTCAAATGGTCCATGACTACAATTTTATTTTAAAGAGATAAAAATCATCCATCTCATACATAACTTAAGTCAATTTCTAAATAAAAGTTTCCCTCTGTCAGATTAGTTTCCTTTTGTTTCTCTTAAATTACACTATCTGTTTGTTCTTGAAGAAAAACCCTTTTAAATAATCAACTTGTCCACTATAAACCCAAAGAAAATTAAACCCATTTTCATATGGTGCCGTTAGCTAATTCCTATGCTCTATTAACAGAAAGATCAAATTAATGCGAACAAACTCAACACTTTGCTAAAGCAAAACAGCAATTAAGCAGCATTAAGAAAAGAAGAGGAAAAAAAAATTCCCAACTAACAAAGAGCCAGCCAAAAAAGATCTCCCATTCTTATCTCCTAACAATCCCAACTGAATCTAAAATCTGGTTTTTGTTGTCTCAACAACTCCAACCAGATAATGAAGGTAGGTTTCAAACTTAGAAAGAGAGAAGAATTAAAATTCGGAAATCAAACACCCACATTGAGAAACCCTAACAAACAATTTAAACCTTTAAAACATGACAGAGCAAAGATTTGAAATAATAACCTGGGATATAGCTTGAACACTACCCCTTCTTTACGAATTTAAATCTTCTGTCTTTATGAGTTTGACCTAAAGTTCATCACGGGAAGCTTTCGGATACAATTATGCATTCCAATGACAGACCTCTCAAAGATTGGTATACATGTCATACACAACGGTCCTCTACATAAGCATTTTGACCAAATTTATACCTACTTTATACGGTTATGGCCTCCCAGAAAAATGGATTCAGTGTCAATAACGGGAAGAAAACACACTTACACGCCAACACCCACCAAAAACTAAGGGAGCTCAATAGAAACAGATATTAAACAAAGGGCTTTATATGAAGAAATCTTATAAGTAGTTGAAAAGGCCAGGGATCTGC